CCTTCGGCACCAGGTACAATTGACTGTGATATGGCGACAAATAACCCCAGACCATTGGTACCCGAACCTATGCGTAGAGAAATATTTAACGCTCTTCATAACGTTTCTCACCCTGGAATCCGCGCGACCCTTCGTTTAATAGCGCAACGTTTTGTTTGGCTGAATATGGACGTGGACATACGCAAATGGGCTAAACATTGCATACCGTGTCAACGTTCTAAGGTCGTTCGGCATACGCACTCTGATACTGGTACCTTCGCACAACCAGATCGCAGATTCGACCATATTCATATTGATATAGTTGGTCCACTACCCCATTCAAACGGAAATTCATACATTCTGACTTGTATAGACCGTTTCACTCGATGGCCTGAAGCCATTCCTATTGCGGACACATCGACAGAAACTATTGCTCGCGCACTGATTACCAGATGGATTGCCATTTTCGGTGTTCCTTCATACATAACCACTGATCGAGGTTCACAATTCGAGTCACACCTTTTTCAGCAACTGACCGAACTACTCGGTTGCAAACGTATACGTACAACGGCCTATCACCCACAAGCGAACGGTTTAGTCGAACGTTTTCATCGACACTTAAAAACCGCTTTCAAAGCAAACAATGATTCAGCTAGATGGACAGAACAACTCCCACTCATCCTACTTCACATACGCACGATGTTTCGTACAACACTGAACTGTTCACCTGCTGAGTTGGTCTTTGGCACAACATTACGTATACCCGGCCAATTTTTCACGCCTGACACAGCAGTACTCAGTGAACCTCCAACGTATGTGGCTCGTCTGAAAACGCACATGAGCAAACTACAATACTGCGCATCCACTTTCACAACAAAACTACCCCACATTCCTCCAGAACTTTCGACCTGTACCCATGTTTTCATTCGCACTGACAGGTTAAAACAACCTTTACAACCTTATGAGGGCCCATTTCCGGTACTTTCACGCCAAGAGAAATACTTCACCATTCTATGGCGTGGCAAACCTGATACGATCAGCATAGATGGTTTGAAACCGGCGTATACGGATTCAGTGGAGACATACCAAACGGACAACGATCCAACACGCACTGACAAGGCCAAGACGCTGACGATCGACAATACACGACCACCCACAATTCCGGGACGAAATCAAGAACGCACCACGCGATCTGGAAGACAGGTACATTGGCCTGACCGTTTTGTTGCAGGCTGACACAACGCAGGCCCCGATGCATACCCTTTTTCAAGGAGGAGGGTATTGTGAGGTCGCATTGCACATGCACTTTTGATTCCGTTACACTATCTTCGGAACGGAAGATTTCATCACCACGTGCACGTGTACTTAAATCCGAGGTCAACCTAATAAAACCTAGTTTTATCGAGATTGCCTTGGATACCACATCCTCACATCGTGTAATTGAGTCGCGTGACCTACATCATGACCGAGGTCAACATAACAAAACTGTTTCATTATTATCGAGATTGTCTCGGATAACACATTCTCACATTGTGTACTTCTCTTCCCCTTGACCTACATTCACACATCGTACTACGTACGGCCCACATGTTTGAACGCCTGAATGAAGTATTATATAAAACCGTATAGTAAATCGACAACAACATTCCCCCGACCGACTACAACGAACGTCACACGACCGTCCCGACTGGTGCTTTGACAACCGTCACAAAAAGCGCTACGCCCACGACGACAAGGCAATCATCACACGACCAGACTGGCCGCGACCTACAATTTCCCCACGAACAGGACTTGTGCTGTGAGATAAGTCACCACTTTCTCATTACCTTATTTTTGAGTAACACTATTAAATTCTATCTCGTACATTGTATTCTTAGGGACGGCCTATCCTTTTTATATCTTTACTGTACTGATACATAACGAACACGCCTCAATACTTATACTCCACACTAACTGATAGTCTTGTACTGATTTACACCCTCTGTAGCTGATGTCAATATGGTCAATTAGGGTGCAGGTCATTGAGGAAATCGGTGGGCGTCAGGTGACGTGGTGTGGACGTTGGTGCTGGAAAGCAGTGCTACTAATGTAAAGATTGTGGTCAGCGCACAGTTGCAGGAATCGATCCCCACCGTCTGTTCGGTGTGTATGGACTCCGAAGCTCCCTCCCAAGTGTTGTCAGTATCTGAAAGACGAGGCAATTGCGCATTCAAGTTGCCAGCAACAATCAAGATGTCAGTATTCTTCACCATGAGAAGAAGAGTTGCGAGTTCACGATAGTGCTCGTCTTTAATACATTTCTAGCTGCAATCAGTAGGGGCGTACATTGTGGCGATGAAAATGCACACGGTCTTCCGACGGTGCATATTAACTCAAATAGAGGTTCGAAGTCTAACCGCACATATACTGCTGTTCACCGGCATCTTGTCAAGCAGGTTGCTTTCAGCATGTTTGCTGAGGGCAACACCAAAACCATAAATACCATGAACCACTGACTTAATATTGCCAGAGACGCGATGAGTGTAGCCATCATCGTCAGCTTCGGAACCAGGGAGTCGGTTTGTTACGAGGTTGATATCTCTTGTGCGTGTTCCGGAGACAAACCACACATCAGTACCAAGAGAGTAACGGGCGCAAGTTAGTGTTGCACAGTGGTCGATCTGACCAAGTGTGGAAGTTAAAAGGACCAACGTGAAATGCGACTCTAAATTTGATGTAAGAGCTACATGTATCGATGGCAGCAACTGAGAAGTCAGCGGCAGTCTCTTGCTCGATAGACGGGGGGGGGGAATGGAGTTGAGACAGACAGAAACAAGAAAAAGTGATATAAATTATTGCCGAAGAGGTCAAGATGGCAGATGATACTCTCAGCCTGCTTATTCTACACTCTAACACGACAGTCTAACCCACAACGCAGTGTGGTACTTAGAGGTTTGCTTGAGTGACTCGGCCCAGAGCCTTTTGCCCAATAGTCTGAACCACAAGGCAGTGGGAAACAAGTCCACCTCGGAAGTGTGATTGCATAGACCTGTAGGGATCTGCTTGAGGCCTGTCACACACAGATTTAGAATATTTCGAAAAATGCCCATTTGTTTTATAACCGTAGTCTAGTACCTACCTGCCACCACGGCCAGCTGCAGGCGAGAGTTAGCGGGTTTGCACCCATTTGACCAGGGGCTACTTGGCTTGAGGCGGGAGCTAGGAAATCATTGAGCAACCGAAGGTGCCCTCTCACCATCGGAGACAGTGCATAGCGCTCACGGTCCACACCAATCGAGCTTATAACCCGTAGTCCTGTTGTCTCCCATGGCTGGGTATTAAAGGAATTGTGCCATCAACCTCTCCCCAAACTCCGAAGAGGATTGAATTGTGAAACTGAGTTAGTTTGACTACTAACCATTGCTTGTCCGGTATGAATAGTTCTTAAAGCACTTAGAAATTGCCGACCAGCGTAGCGCATTGGGATACGGGTATCCGCAAAGCATTACACAACGGTAAGACAGTCTCGTTGCGATGGAGAAGGCATCAGCAGTACCCCGGACAGACGCTTCGCTGCCACGCAACCACCAGCAGTCAAGCGTGGATTAAGGTTACTGCGGGGGTTGCCCGGTCCCCTACGCAGGCTCCAACCGGCAACGTTCGGGCTGCAAGGTAGACATCTTGCCCTTTGGCCACCGGCCGGCTGAGACATGGGGAACAGCAATGGATCATCATAACTGTGATATGGCGTAACTCATTTTACATTGGCATGCAAACTAAGAGCAATCAAAAGGATAAGTCTGGCTCCAGATAAACGGTTTCTACTAAAACAGCTATGTACGACATAGCATTTAGAAACTGTTATGGCGACTGTCTGATGTACTGATGCGCCCAGAAGTACTGTTGTTTTATTTTGCGCATGACAACGCAGAATATTCATGGGGATTTTCGGAAATTGCGATGTGACTTAATGTGTACACGACACGGCAGATGTGAAACGGATATTTCACATAAGTGGCCGGACAAGAAAAGCAACAGTGAGCAGCACCGTTGCTTGACTTGTTAATTTCGCATATTAAACCGTGCGAAACCTTGTAGATATCTTTATGAAAGACAAATGAATTAAACTTAAACACGATCATACCTGAGTTGGTTTGCCTAGATGAATTCGATAATAAAATAGTTAGTTAGTTGTTTAACAAACAATAAAAGATTTATCGCGATAGTGTTGTACATGTTCGTGTTAAACGAGCGACTCCCAGCAAACTGGATATTCTGACATCTATGTAGGGTCGGTTTATTTGGTGATAGTTTGTTGACTCGTAACCGTTAAGTTCTGTGACGCAGAAGAGAATGTTGTCCCTTTGGAACTAAACTGCTGTCCTGTTTTGCGACCGATCCTAGTTTTAAACTTAACAATCATAATGACCCAAAAAGGAAGCCATTCAGTTGTAGTAGGAGACAGCAGTCACTAATGGGGTCAGCAATGTTGCAATACTGTCAGGTTTGATTAATTTCACTGTAGACGAAGGATTGAGAGAGGTGTAAGAGGTGGGTGGTTACAATGCTTTAGACTCCGTTTATTTTACGATGAATTGGCCAACTATTAAGAGGAAGTGGTTTAGCACAAGCTAGTGACCATCTATTAAGCAGTTTGGAGTGAAAATATCTTTAGTTTACAACCAAGCTGGTGGTTGCAACACTAGAGATGTGTGTCTCAAAAGCAAAGGAAGAGACCAGGAAATTGCATTACCATCGACTAAATCAGCGTACAATTATGCGACAGGTTTCAATCACATACGGTGAAAGAAAATTCAGTGACTCCAAGAAAAGAAGTTCAGAATGCCGGTTGCAATGATTAGAGCAAGAAGACAGAGGGGTCCAAAACGTATCGTAGCTCCGTGGAGTAAATGAATTGCAACCTGCTTAAGACAGACGGTGTCAATTATAGTTAATAATAACAAAACGATGTTGATTAGATACAAAGATATTTAACATGGTGCAAAGAGGCGTACACTAGCCACATTTGCAAAAGAACTTACCCAAGCGTGGTCATGGTGACTATTGTGTACCAAAATGCGGACGGGATACTGGAGAACGTGGTGCCTTCAACTGATTTTTCCGCGTAATACATCACGGTTGCGAAGATAATGATCACCATTGTAAGGCTAAATAGAAGAAACCCGAGCTCCGAAGCGCATGATTTCAGGGTGTAACCCAAAATTCGTAGTCCGACACTGTGCCGAGAGAATTTGAAAACTCGGAACACACGAAACACGCGTAGGGTTGTAAAGACCCCAGAAACGCTCTACAAAGAAAATTATAAGTAAAACGATTAAATACAAGGCACAATAGGCTTTAGGTGCATGGATAGATACATTTTCAGTATTTTCGCTGTCACTGTAAATGGAGAAATACATGAGGTTGAATAGATAAAAGCAAATAAATTTTCAAATGCAAAATGTTCACGTGTCCCTCAGGCAAACAACATCATATCATGCTGATGAGTTTCGTTGAGTTCACAAGTAATCGTGACAAGTAGGGTTGGATAGAAGTGTGGTGTGAAGCCTTACGAGAAAATGCAATACCGAATTTAAAGCGTGCAGAAGAAACCTACTGCGCTTTCGACAGTGCTCCATGCAGTGGATGAAAAGGGTGGTTTAGAACATTGAAGGAAAAGCTAGTGCAAGCGTCCACAAGTCTGTTCACAATAAAATCAGCAAGTGCCTCTCAAGACAGTCCACTGCAACAAAATAATTTTAACGAACGTAAGAAAAATGTGTATGTAACCTTTGTTAATAGTCCAAGAATGAGTACCGGAGAACATTAAGGCCAGTGAGGCAGAATGTATGCAACCACAAATTTTAAGAGCAAATCACATGGTAGTGAAGGCATTCGGAGTTTAATGGTATAAATGGTAACCTTCTAACTTTGCCAAATGTTTCAGCAGCATGGGCAAAGCAAGAGAGGTATTGGGATAAAAAAATACGCCAAAGTTCTTGTTCGAATATGATATATGAGTTACAGAGATGCGTACATAAAGTTAAGCCATCAATGAAAGCTGATTTCTATCGCCAACTGAACAAGTTCCTTTGTTACGGGAAAAGCACGGATAACGTCGTGCCAGCCAATGATCTGAAAGCCAAAGTTTGAAAGTTGTCCACTAATGAGCTGTATCAGGGGAGCCAACACGGTGCCATATCCCTTCATGATAACGGTACGCAATTACTTTACTTGTGTGATGGTCGCTTATTTCTTGTGAGCACTAACTTCAGTCACAGCACCAGGCGGAGAAGGACATGGCACCCACCAGCCTTAGACCAGTCATGGACGCAAATCGATCACATACTAATCAGTTAGCGCAGGAGAAACTGCGTCCGAAACTGGCGCTCGATTTGGAGCACATTTGTAGACACTGACCATGCACCTATGTGCGATTATCTGCGAGTACATCCTGGCGGACGACCCTAGCGAAGCTGTCAGGGCATAGACACCAGCTAACTGGCGAAGCCAGATGTTCTGAATGCATATAGAAGTACGGAAGCGTTCGGGTTGAAAAAGCGCTCATGGAATAGAGTTGAAGGTCCCTGGTAGCATGTTCCCCAGACATAATTGGCAGCAGGCAAATTCTCAGGTGGTAAACCGGATTGCTAATCTAAACCTTGAATCGTCACGAAATTGCGGGTAGATTCCGGCTTGGAGCGAACATTACGAGTCCCGCACAGACCTCGGGGCGAAACTCCATGCTAGCCTGAAGAGAGATCGTAAATCACGATGGCCTCATCATGCGTCAGATGGTGGTGACCGCTGCTGTTGGTAAACATTGGACTTGGAAACCTGGTGCTATTAATAATATATGTGACGAGAACGGCTAGTTTATCCACAGTTTGTCAAAACGCTTGGAGTGTTAGGCTGAGCAATTTGAAAGGCAATTTAATCGACCGCCAGAGATCGCTCTGCTTCCTTTGCCGTCCCTTTGGCGTTGAACGTGAGATCGGACTCCAGAAATCGAATAAGACCGCAGGATTAAATAATCTTCCTCCAGCTCTAATCACATTCTGGGGACCAGTTTTGGTGGATGATTTACACGCGTAACTAGTGCTACTGTGGGATCAGTAAACTGCCCCAACCGACTGGGGCCCATCCAGATAATCAAGGAGACTAACGTTCGAAATTCGAGAACCGCAAAGTCTTTAGTCTAATCTCCACTGCCTCCAAGTTACTTACCTCTGTCTTCCTTCACAGAGTGACTGGCACCTATGGAGGTCAGATTCGAGAGGAATAAGCCGGGTTTCGCAGAGGTCATGTTGTATCGATCACATCATAGTCCTTACCTCAGTTGGTGTATCACACTCATATTCGCGTCCCACAGCTGCCGTGTACCTTGACACAAAACACGCCTTGGATTCTGTGAATCATGTGGGGCTTTCTGCTAAGAAGAGGTGGGCACGAGAAATAGCTAAATGTTATCCGCGCGTTTTACGCGCGTATCTCGGACGGAATGAGGGTTTACGGTAAGCCGTCGCCGCCCTTCAATAACTTAAGCCGTGTAAGACTGGGATGCCCGCCGTCACCTTTCCATCATAACTTATCCATCGACGAAGACGGAGAGTACGTTCATTGAACATGACCTACCAGACGTGAAGCCGCTTCCAGGTGATCGACTTCTTGCCATGGAGTACGCCGACGACATTGCCGTTATGTGTGCCAGCTCCCAAACTTACCAGTTTGCACTAGACACATTAGCATTGACTGGCAGTCCTTTCGGGCTACGCTTTACACCCACCAAATGAAAAGACTTCCATGATTGGCGGAGAACACCTGCTGTGTTGACCGCTAGTGGGAATCAGCGAAAATTCGACAAGAAATTGAAGTTTCTAGGCAGCTATAGCAGAGTCAGTGGTATGGAAGGTGGGATCATAAACGGCCTTACAAAAGCTCGAGGCGCTCATGACAAAACCTCCATTACCAGTGGCGCTGGCGCAACATCACTCACTCCCTGAAGGGCAGTTTGCAACGTAGCCATCTGTTTAACATGTATGTACAGTTGCAAAACTTGATTCATGAGGTCGACAAACATAAAGAGACAAGTTACGTTCGATCATCGTTGCCTTCGCAGCTTAGCACACGTCTGGTGGGAGCATCGCATGAGCAATGAGCGTGTTTGACGTCGTGCACTTAGTGCAGGAAGGGCGAGTGAACCGCTTAACATCATTATATCACGCACCAGGCTCCGATGGTTGGGCCGCGTGTGGCGCATACCAACACACCGGTGCCCGCGACGTGCGTTGCTTGCGCGCCTGGGGTGTGGATAGAAATAGAGGAGGAGAGGCCAACCCGTGACTTGGTAAGAAAAATGAAACCCTCACTTCGCAGTTGGCCTCGGTTGAAGCCTCTCGGCTCCCTGATGGAGGCCCGAGAGACGATAAAAACGTCTGGATGGATACACTTGTTTAGAGGGCCATGAGCCGATCACAGTGGCGCTCGTGTTGTGAGTTCCTTTGTGTCTCATCCTCCCACTTAGCCTTCACCAACCGCGATCTCCCTTCCGACACATAATACAACTTTTTGCGGCACAATAGCTTACCGCTTGCACGCCGGAACGCTGTTCATCCGTTACCGGTGGATCAGCTGGTGTGCAAATGTCATATCGTTTTCCGACCTCATATATTGCGGCAAAATAGTTAAGCTGTTTCCCACCTCTAGCTAACGTGCACACTGATGCTGCTGCTGCTGATGAGGAGGAGGAGGATGCTGATGATGACGGTGATGAGGATGATGAGGAGGATGATGATGGTGATGCTGATGTTGATGAAGATGATGATGATGGGGAGGAGTAGGATGACGATGATGATGATGGTGAGGAAGATGATGATGATGGTGGTGATGATGATGACGATGATGATGACGATGGTGATGATGATGGTGATGACGATGATGATGATGGTGGTGATGATGATGATGATGACGGTGATGATGCACCATTGTTTGCTATTCAGTAGCACAGTTCTATACTAACATCCACTATGCCATAACCCTTATTACTACACTAAGTAAACGTGTTCTCTAAGGATCCTCTAAAGAGGCGAAATATCGCTCACGCAACCAGAAGTGGGGGAAATTGCTGGCAAGGTTTCACAAGCTCGGAGACCGCACCGATATTGCAAGTGCACGAATGAACAACTAGGATCAAACCTGTGCAAATAAGGTGACTCGAAAGCGAGGAGGAAAATGCTCTCCGAACAGGTAGAGAAACAAAGAAACCCGTCGCTATCCTACGTCATAGAATCGATAACAGCTCTTCTCCTTTTACGGCACTCTTGGATGAACATGGTGAATCTTTGAGTGACCCAATTGCCAATTGTGAGGCGTTTAGCTCGTTCTTTGTTGCCTCCATAATTTTTGAATTGGCCCCATACTGAATGCCCACAATCCGCTACAACCAAAAGTCTAAGCAATGTCAAAGTCCTCTCAGCACTATTCAGCGGCTAATCTAAACCATGGAATCTTCTCTCAGCTTGGACTCCGACGATATCCTTTCAACTGCGATTAAAATGGGAGGGTCTGAGTTACCACTACCTTTGTTATCGATACAAACTAGCTATTTCCCTGATCATTGAAAAATCTAATTCATCATCCCATGCCATGAAAGTGGTCCCAAGCAAAAAAATTACCAATTACCGACCGCTTCATTATACTCCCATCATCGTCATTCTTTTTGAAAGATTAAACAAGAAAACGTTGATATAGTGCCTTGATTCCCTGAAGTTGTTTAACGCATTTCAACATGGTTTTCTTGATAGAAGTTCTTGCACGACGTGTCAGCTACGCTACCTTAAATAAACTTCAGAATGCATAGATTCCGATTATACAACAATAATATTCTTGGAAACAGGAAAAATATTTGACCATGTACCACCCGAACAGTGGTTGAAGAAGGTCGAATGCTTTGGAATCCGGAACTCGTTTTTAGGTTGGCTTTCCTCCCACCTTAGCAATCGTTCTCAACTAGTTACTCTGGGTGATCACCGCTGTTCTCCTCATGCAATAACCAGCGGCGACATAAAAGGAACTGTACTTGACCAGCTGCTTTTTCTCCTCTGTAGACATGAGATTAGCATGTCCATCAGAAATGGCCAACACTTTTATTTGCAGATGTAGCAAGATTGCTTACAAACTCCGGCGTGATGCGCTTCAAAGCACACCACTTTTAATTCAATAAGAGCTTCACTCTCTTGCAACATGGTCTGAGACGTGGTTGCTAAAATTTTCAACCGACAAATCCAACATTAATGTCATATGGTTGCT